TGTTTCTTTAAGTTCCAAGACCTCCAATTCTACCCTAAATATACACATTAAAAAAATTGGGTTTATTCTGAGTGACAACTAATTCTCTTGAATTTGGATATAGGAAAGATTTTATTCTCCAAAAAAGAGATAGGACTATTAGAGAATAAAATTAATGGAGAGTCTATTTAAAGATTTTTGTTAATTTTAAAGACATTAATACCATTAATCCTAGATTATCTACATTTGGAAAGTCATAGAAGTTTTTTTGAAAGTCACAGAATTTTAAAGAGCTGTTAGAAAATAATACTAGTAGTATTAAATCTTTTTAATATTATAAAAACAAAGTCACAAATAAAAGATAATAATTTGGTTTAAAACTTCTGATATATTTCTTATAAGAAAATAGTCCAAAAATATGAGTCAATATGGTGAACTATAGTTTTTCTTTTTACTTTGCATATGACTTAAAGTTTAAAAAATAAATCCTGAGTCACATATCTTTATGAAATCATTAAAAATCATAATACAAATGTATTACCATATCAAATATTTTTAAAAACTTTTTTCCATACCACTCAACCAACATATATTCATTAAACACCTATAGAAACTAATGTGCTTTGTACAGTAGATTTTCCCTATCCTTGGCATCTACATGTCTAGGGAGCTTAATTTTATATAGGGCTTTATTTAAAAATAAATGTATATATGTAAATGACAAGTAAATAACCTGCTATTTAAGGATGTATATAGTAGGTATAGATTCAGTTCAATCTGTAATTCTTACCTTTAAAATATTATGTGATAATAAATGTCTGTAACAATAACACTAAATCACTGAAGGTAATATAATATAAACTATGTTAACATTTGAGAGTCTTTAGCATTTAATAAACTACATAAAGCAGGATGATCTTTTCTATAGATTCATAATAGATAGGGATAAAATGGGGTTCTTCCATATAAAACATTTTTTATTAGAAAAAATTCTTTAAAATTAATAATTAATGATATAACATTATATTTACTAAGTAAATAACAAATAAGAAAAAAACTTCCATTTTATAACATGACTACTTAATTGATAGGGGATACTAGAAAGGAATTCTAGAAAAAGATTCACTAAGTACAGAAAGAGAAACAAGGAAGCAAGAAGGAAGGGAGGGGAAAACAAAGAGTACGGAGAGTGAGGAAGAAAATGCAGAAGAGAAGAACAGGCAGGGAAGGGGGACAAATAAACCAGAACAATAATAAATAAAGGAAATAGAAATCATTTCTTTTAAATCTAATGTTTCAGTTATTAAAGTATTCACTATATCTCCTTGAAAAAAAAACTCTTTCAGTTTGCCACGGACATTGCCCCTGTAATTTTCTCCTATTATTCAGTTCTAAAACAGGAGACTGGAAATTTGATGAATTAACAAAATGCCCCTCTTCTTCATGCCAGTGTTCATACTGTATCATATTTCAAATCCTAGTATATTTTTAAAATAAAGAGACAGATTTTTACCTACCAGAAGGTGTCTCTCTCTTTCTATATATATATATATATATATGGGAACATAAGTACATTAAAGACACATAAAGGTTAAAAATTCTTTCCGAATTGCCATCATAGCATTGTAAAAACTAAGTTAAACAAAGTTGTCTTTTTTACCTTCCCATAAACTAATAATATATGTATTAGAAAATGAACCTTATATAATCAGAAATAAAATGATTATATTGAGGATATGAAAGCTAAGACAACTTTTCAGAAAATGTCATTATTCACAATAAGTAAAATAAATGTACGCAAACACACACTTTAAGACTAACTAGATCATTACAGAATCACTCCATTAGAAATTTTTTTCCTGCTTTTCTTTGACTTCTTCAAGAACAACAGTATACTTGTTTAGGGCATATTCTTCCCTTTCAGATATAAGAGCTGTGAATTCTGCAAAACATTTGGTGCATATAATCAATTGTGTATACTTAGTTTTCACAATGAGAGTTTCTCATAGGTTTTAACTAAGATGGTTGTGTTCTCATTATGTGATTAAATTGAATAGTTAGGTATCTTAGCTTTCTAATCTAACTATATCAATTAGAATGACTTATTAGAATATATTTCAACCATGTTTACACTTACTTCTCCCCGGCACCCATAAGACAAAATATTTCCCCCACAAAATATTCTGGTTAATATTTAGATTATCATAATTATTAACAATGCTTGGTAAGAAATAGAGAATATGTATGATTAGCCAAAAAACATATATGTATAACCCACACGCACAGACAACAGTTTGGCGATGGCCAGAAGGAAGGAGAGATAGGGGCTAGATGGAAGTGGGAAAAGGGGGTGAGGTAAGCACATCTGTAATAGTGTCAACAATAAATAATACAGGGAAAAAAGTAAACAACTAAGTTAATGAGAAAAAAAAAACTTTATTTTTTAAATAAGCCAAGCCTAAAATTTAATTTTCATTTCCCATGTTTGGAATTTCTACTTATTTCTTTAAAGAATAAATTTAATCCAGGCTGGGTAGCTCAGCTGGTTAGAGCATTGGCCTGAAACACCAAGGCTGTAGGTTCATTCCCAATCAGGGCACATATAAGAATCAAACAATGGGGGACTTCCCCTAAGATGGAGGTGTAGGCGTAGGTTGTACCTTCTCACACAACCAAGTTTAAAAACAACAAAGTTTTAGCAATAAAAACGCAGCCAAACTCCAGAAAATTGAAGCATACTGAAGTCCGACAACAACAAACCATTCAGCCAGACCAGTAAGAGGGGCGGAGCCAGCAGCAGAGCCCGGTTGGGCAGAAAAGATCCCCCGACCCAGGCACACAGGCAGCCAAGGGCGGATCCCAGGTGTGGAGCAGCAATGGATGGACCCCAAGTCAGGGTGCAAGGCGGCAGGGCTGACCACAGTCACACATTCACGAGCATATAAACCAGCGAAGGACTGAGCAGTGACACAGATAGCGCAGGCCCCAGTGGCAAGAAGCAGCAGAGGGGACTGCTATTGTTCCTCTCTGACCCCACCCCGACAGACAGCGTCACAACCCAGCAACTGGGTGGCCCCACCCTGGTGAACACCTAAGGCTCCCCTCCTCATACGTAACAGGCGGGAACAGATCAAAACATGGCTCAAGAAGAATTCAAAGCCCCAGAGCCAATAACTCTAAGGGACCAAGAGATAGCCAACCTATCAGATGCACAGTTCTAAACACTGGTGATCAGGATGCTCACAGAACTGGTTGATTCTAGCCACAAATTAGACAAACACATGAAGGCTAAACTAATTGAAATAAAGGGAAATGCACAGGAAACCAACAGTGATGGAAAGGAAACTGGGACTCAAATCAAGGGAGTGGACAAGAAGGAAGAAAAAAATGACCAAACAGAAAAGGATGAAGAAACAAGAATTCAAAAAAATGAGGAGAGGCTTAGGAACCTCCAGGACATCTTTAAACGCTCCAACATCTGAATTATAGGGGTACCAGAAGGGGGAAAGGAACAGCCACCAGTGGAAAACTTATTTGAACAAATAATAAAGGAGAATTTCCCCAATCTGGCAAAGGAAATAGACTTCCAGGAAATCCAGGAAGCTCAGAGAGTCCCAAAGAAGTTGGACCCAAGAAGGAACACACCAAGGCACATCATCATTACATTACCCAAGATTAAAATGAAGGAGAGAATTCTCGAAGCAGCAAGAGATAAGGGAACAGTCATCTACGAAGGAGTTCCCATCAGACTGTCAGATTTCTCAAAAGAGACCTTACAGGCAAGAAGGGGCTGGAAAGAAGTATTCCAAGTCATGAAAGGCAAAGACCTACATCCAAGATTGCTCTATCTAGCAAAGCTTTCATTTAGAATGGAAGAGCAGATAAAGTGCTTTTCAGATAAGGTCAAGTTCAAGGAGTTCATCATCACCAAGCCCTTATTATATGAAATGTTAAAGGGACTTATCTAAGAAAAAGAAGATAAAAAATGTGAACAGTGAAAGGACAGCAAACTCACAGTTATTAACAACCACACCTAAAACAAAAGCAAACTAAAAGGACTGCTAGATCAGGAGCAGAACCACAGAAATGGAGATCACATGGAGGGTTAGCAATAAGGGAGTAGGAGGAGGAGAAGTGGGGGAGAAGGTACAGAGAATAAGTAGCATAGACAGTAGGTAGAAAATAGATGGGGGGAGGGCAAGAATAGTATGGGAAACATAGAATCTAAAGAACTTAAGACACGTGGTCATAAACTAATGGGGGAAGTATGGTAGGGGAGGAGGTGTGCAGGATGGAGGGGAATGAAGGGGGGAAATGGGACAATTGTAATGGCATGATCAATAAAATATATTTTTAAAAAAGAGAATCAAACAATGAATACATAAGTGGAACAACAAATCAATGTCCCCTCTCTCTCTCACCAAAAACTAAAAATTAAAAAAAATTTAATGATTATACAAAACTCATAATTATCTAATGCTATTGGCAAAAAGCAAAACCATCTTCATCAGTTTTATTTTTACTAAGCATCATATAACCTAAGACAGTATTTATAACTAACTGCAAATCATTAAGTTAGTCATGAAATCAATTTAATGGATTGTGACTAACATTTTAAAAAAAGAAATAAAATAGAAAATGCAGTGAGAATAATGCTGCTTTGTGAAATTCTTGTATCAGTAGTGCTTATATTCATAAATGTGTATGTATTGTTTTCATCTTGCTTAAAAATGAGTTTTTAATATAAAATACCATAATAAAGTAAATCATTGATATTATTGGTATAAAAACATGGGAAAGAATGATTTACCGTGGGGCCTTGATTATATTAATCATGTTTTCTGCACAACTTTAATGGACTGACATATTAATAAAGGTAGCATTCTTTTCTCCACCTCTACTTTGCACGCTTATATTCTAACTATGGTCACAAACATCAGATTTTCAAGCCAGGTAAATACGGTATTGTAAAGGAAACAACAAAATAATGTTAAAGCCTAATTTCCTACTAATAGTCTTACCTGTTGGTAATCCTTTTCCTCTCAATCTGTCACGAATGGCCTGGCTTCGGTCAGGCTTTTGTTCACTGTTACAGGAAAGCTGATCCGTCTGCACATAAGGAATCAAAAATCAAAATTGACAAAAGAATCTTCCTTTTTTTCATGGTAATTGGCTACAGAACGACACTATACAACTTTTGGAGAGTGCAGCATTAAGTAAAGACCCTCTATATTTGCTATTGTTAATTTGTATTCCCTGAGTAAGATTTATGTAACTCGGTTCTGGCCAATTCATCCTCAGGAAATAAAAGACAAGAAACAGTTACCAAAGAGTAATCTGTTAACTAGGAAACAAAGTTAGTCAAATTAAATAAATGAAAATGAGTTCCATTTGAAAACCAAACTGATAACTATTTTCATTTTTCAAGTTAGATTACAATTTTAAAACCATATCAATTCTGGTATAATAAAACTTTCACCTGATTATAACAGGTGAGGGCACTGATTTAAGTTGTTTTCAAGAATAATTTTTTAGGATTTCCCTGCCAGAAATTACATCAGAGAAATGCTTTAAACTAAATGGACAGATTGAGGGATGACAATTAAATTTAAATCAATGCTCTTTTGAGTACCCTTTATAACAAAATGTTTCAGTAGACTTAGACTTTAATAACTTTAACTGAGGGTACTCATTTAAAATAAAGCATGTCAAATTAACTGAAGTCTATATCATAAGGGATGAAAAGTTAGACAGAACATTGTATTTATTTAGATGAATACTGGAGTAGAAATTTCAAGAAATAAATGGAAGGAGAGAGAATGGTGAAGAGAAACTACTTAAATCTGACACCAAGAACCTTCATACACATCTGTTCACACACACACGTTCTAACATTCCTCCTTTAGTAGAAGTTGTTTATGAGTACAGATTAAAAAACTGTTTAAGGTGATATGTTCAAGGCATTATATTTCTTACCTATAAGAAGACTTAAATGGATATTTTTCTGAAATGAGGTTATCATTTAAATTACATAAATGATATTAGTTCAGACTGCACCCTATGTTAGTAATTGAAGAGGTAAAGAATACCCTGCATCTTTGGGAATCCCTATTATTGACCCTATTATTAATGATAGCTGCTATTAATTGAGCAATTACTATAAGGCAAGTACTATCTTAAATACTTTACATACTTTGTGTTATTTAGTCCTCAAAAAACATGAGCTTTTTTTTAAGACTATTATTCTCTTATTACAGATAAAGTGAGAAATAGCAATGAAATTTCTAAGAACCCTGAAGCAGCTCATCAACACTGAAATCATTTTATCTTCATAACTGGTCAATAATATCTGTAAGATGGTATGTACTATTTTTCCTATTTTACGGATAAGTAATATTGAGGCAAAAAAAGGTTATAACATTAAACCAGGGGAAGAACTAGGACAACCTGCTGACTTTTACTCTATGCTAATTAATGTAAAGTAAGAATTATGGTCAATTATAATTAATCTCACACTGAGTGAAAGACAATTCATTCTATCAGTTACTGGAGGCAACAACAGAGAAACATAACGGCTCACAGCCTGGCCTGGGAGTCAGAGATCTAGGTTCCCATTGTGTCTCCATCAGTTTCTTGTTTGTGGCCATGGGTAAATTATTTAATCTTTCGGAGCCTTAGTTTCATTATCTTTAAAATGAAGATAACATTACAATAATCTCTTATAACCTGGGGCTGTTACGGTGAGCAGATGTGAAAAAGAACGTAAGCCACCTAGCAGCACAAGGCCTGGCACAGAGTGAACACTTAAAAAATGGTAGCTGCCAGATTTATTCTGTCCACTGATGTCCAGGAGACTAGCAAAGGCACTGACTGGAAAGATGAGGGGAGAATTATTATTTCTACTTAGTAGAAATTTGCCTCTTGAAAGACAGACTTCCCATATACTGAATCCAATGGACCCTTCATTATCCTTCTCTCCTACTAAACAACCCCGCAACACACCCACACCCAACTTAAAACTTCCTCAAACACACCCCGCTCTTTCCTGTTTCATAGCATTTATTCGAGTTTACTTCCTTCTGCCTGGGTTACTCTTTCTATCTTGTCTATAGGATTTAGTTCAAAGTGCTATTTTTCTATGTAGTCATAACTTATATCCTTTCCCCTCAAGATCTCAAAGCTTTGAAAAATTTTACTATGTTATTTTGTGTTTTATAACTAAGCAAATGGATATAGAACTTTAAGTAAGAACTCTTAGAAGGCAGAGCATATTCTATTCAAATTTCTATCTCCTATAGTATCTAGCACAGATTTCATATGTAAATGAGCACTATATAGCTACTGTAATAAACTGAACTAAGTACTTAAAGGGATTGAGATCTTTTTATCTAATATGGGAAATTACTGGATGGATAACAGAATTTCATGGACAAATATTTCTTCATGGAAACAAAGAAAAAATATTTGTAGCAATTTTACCATGGTAGTAAAATCAGCAAACAGGGTAAGAGTCTTAGAGGGGGTGTCATATAATAGAAAAATCCCTGGGCTTACTAACTAAAACATAAATCCCACAGACTATGCCTCAATTTTCTTATTTATAAAGTAAAAGAGTTAATATTGATAAACATTTCTCAAAGGGGGTGTTATAAGATCTGATATAAGACCTAAATAAGTTTGGGGGATGTTTCATTTACATGCCTATCTCTCTTCAAGATTAGTAATACAGTCTAGTGTAAAAAGGCTCTGAGAAATTCTGCAGTGAAATCACAATTTTCCTTAGTTTTTCCTCAAGCTTATTTAATCATAGAGGAATTTTTTTAAAACAAAAAAATAGGTGAAAATATGTAGGAAACCTTGGTTTGTATAGAGGGCTTTCACAGATTTTTAGTAGCTTTATGCTTGTCAAAAAAAAAAAAATCAAATGCTGGCTGGTGTGGCTCAGAGGATTGAGAGCCAGCCTGTGAACCAAAGGGTCACAGGTTCAATTCCCAGTAAGGGCACATGCCTGGGTGGTGCCAGGTTCGCCCAGTAGGGGGCAAAAGAGAGGCCACCACACATTGATATTTCTCTCCTGCTCTCCCTCCCTTTCCCCATCTCTAAAAATAAATAAATAAAACCTTTTAAAAAAGATCACACGCAGGAATATAAACAAATAAATCAAATCAAAGTGGAGCAGTTGTAGTTAAGGAAGGGAAATACGCACCAAGAACCTCAGGCACTCAGCTTCTACTGGAGCTGGGATTCCCTTTAGAGAATCACAAAGGCTCCGTGGGAAAGAGTTCACCAACCATGTGCCTAGAAGAATCTCTGAGCCTGTTTCTTATCAACTCTCAGTGTGTGTGGAATTTGGATATACTCCTGCCAGCCACATGACATGCTGGTAAAATGGCAAAACTACACCTGTGGGAACGAGGAAGCCAGCAAGAACATGTGTGACAGTGGCAAAGGTGTACGGCTCACACAAAGGACAGGGACCTCTACTCAGGGACCATAACCCTAAAGGGTAAGAACAAATAATGTTTAGATCTAGATCAGGTATCAAAACCCAAGGTGTATCCAAACTAGGGCAGAGGTGGGATGATTAGATATAGTTTGTCATTCTTGGAATTCTTCATATCCAAGACAAGTGGAAAAGTGGAAGAGTCCAGGTTTGGGGCCATAGGGCAGGAATACACACATGGACCCTCTACCCCATTACCCACATGCACCAGGTGCCAGTGCCCAGCGCAGGAGGGGAGGGTTTGGGAACACCTAAAGGGACCAGACAAATAAGTGGCCAAGAAAGTAGAATGAAGCAACAGAAAGTACATTTAAATAATTCTAAAACCCACTTTGTTACATTGATGCATTTTTCACAACAGACAGAACTATGAGGCAAGAGCAGACACTCTGAGCATGACACTTGCTTAATTAAAGGTCTAAATAAAGACCAGGTCTCATAAAATCTAGGAGACAAAGTTACTGCACTAGTCTTATGAGTTTTAATTACTGTTTCAAATAAACAATTAACACTAGAAAAAGCAATTCAATCTCTTGTTCTTAGTCTTCACTGAAAAAATGCTACCTATAAAATTTTATGATACACTAAATTTAAAAATATGAGCATATGTACCAATTAGAACTGTAGCTTACCCCAGAAAGATTTCCCAGAACCAGTTTTACCAACTGTTTCACATAGGAAAATGAAGGCGCACAATTGCTGTTCCTAATGTGGGCACTGCAAGCGTCCAGGACAGTCCGAACAGAAACCCGAGCATAAATAACATCCTCGCACATTCCAAGCAGTATGCTGTTGAGGTGATCTCCAAGTTGGATAGGCTGAATATAAAGAAAAGAGAAGCCGCATTGATAGGTGTGAGTAAATCTTACAAATTTAATAAGACAGCCATTCTGGGAGTCACAGAAATCACAACAACCACACTTCAAGTACTTGGAGGAAGTTAATTCCTTATCTAGTACTATACCATTTTACTGCATTTCACATTTGACATTCCGAAAAATCATTAGGAGATCATTAATATACATTTCTCAAAATAGGAAATGTAGAAAAACTCTGGGGATTTTCTGTATGATAAAGAAATAAAATTCTTTATTCAAATATTATGGTTGCCATTTACTATATATATACCATTTGGGGAAAATAATTTCCTAATATTCAATAAAAATAATATATTCAATATACATTTAATATAATTTGACACTCATGATAACCTGGAAAAGATTTCAAATATTGCAATGACTTTAAATATTGCAAACATTTAAAGATCCTTTATAAGTTTTCATTATGCTGGTGAAATAGAGAAGATAAAATGTGAGATTTTAAAAATCAGCTGAAATAATTTGTAGATTATATTGAAATGTCCAATAAGCATACCAAGAAATACAAATTTAAATCACAAAAAGAAGCCAGTACGTGCTTGATTGAATGGTTAAAAATAAAAAGAATGATAATACTAAGTAGTGCTGAGGACTGATGGGAGTTAAAACTGGTACATCCACTTTGGTTTAAACATGCTTTCCCTGTGAGCCTTTCACTTCTCCATTTGGGCATTATGTCATAGTTTAGATACAACTTTGATGTGATCTCCTTTATATTCTAACCCCTCAGGTCTAGTTAGAACCTCTTAACTCTTGTTTCCCATAGCACCCTCTATTCTCCCTGACACAGCATTCATAATGTGCTGTAATTGGTTATGTGTTGTTTGTACCCATGAATGAACGCTACAGCCATGGGCCATTATATTCCTAGTGTCTAGTACAGTATCTAAAACAGACGGGCACTTAATAAACACTTCTAAACTACTATTAAATATTGCCAAAATAATTATTTCTTATAGCAAAATACAAGTAAAAGTTTATACAGTCCCACTAATTTATGCATTATTGACACTGACTTTATTTTCAATTACAAGAAAACAGTATAAAGTGTTCATTATAGACTGTGATTGCATTTTACATGCAAGTTAGGTTATATATGATTCCAACATGCTCAGTAATAATTTAACTTTCTCAATTTACAGAATTGAAATTGAGGAGAGAACATAAATACACAGTATTTTTCATGATGAAAAAAAAAGACCAAATCAAGTTGAAGACTACCATTCTTCTTTCATTTTTTAATATTCAATTTAACTGTTATTGTATTTTTTTCTATCACCATATAGCTTCCACACACCCTCCCCATTCCCCAGGGATCACCACACTGCTGTCCATGTCCATGAGTCCTTTTTCTTTTTATTTCTTTTAATTGTTGTTCAAGTGCAGTTTTCTGCCTTTTCCCCCTACCCCAGCCCAACCCCCCCCAGTCCTTTTTCTTGTATGCTCAATCCCTGCACCCCCTAATGTCACCCCCAGTAGCTGTTATCTGTTCTCTACTATCGGTCTGTCTTTGCTTGGCTTGTTAGTTGAGTTTCTTCATTAGATTCCATATATGAGTGAAATCATACATTATTTGTCTTTTCCTGAATGGCTTAACTCACTTAGCATAATGTTCTTCACGTCCATCCCATCCTGTTGCAGAAGGTAAAACTTTCTTCTCTTTTACAACCAAGTACTATTTCATTGTGTAAATGCCCCATAGATGTTTTATCTATTCATCTACTGATGAACACTTGGGCTGCTTCCATATCTTGGCAATTCTAAATAACACTGCCATGACCTTAGAGGTGCTTATGTTCTTTTGAATTAGGGTTCCTTCAGATATATTTCCAGAATTGCGGCTCCTGGAACCAAAGGCAGATCCATTTTTAATTTTTGAGGCATCTCCATACTGTTTTCCACAGAAGCTGCACCAGTCTGCATTCCCACCAATATCTCCACATCCTCACCAGCACTTGTTGTTTGTTGATTTATTGATGACGCTATTCTGACGTATGAGATGGTATCTCATTGTGGTTTTTTTAACTTCAATTTCTCTGATGATTTCTCTGATGATGACAATGAGCATCTTTCCATATATCTACTGGCCATCTAAATGTTCTTTTGGAGAATTGTCTATTCAGGTCCTTTGCTCATTTTTTCAACTGGATTGTTTGTTTATTTGGTGTTGAGTTCTGTAACTACATTATAAATTTTGGATATTAACCCCTTATTAGATGTATTGGCAAATATGTTCTCCCATTCTGTGGGTAGTCTTTTTTGTTGTTGATGATTTCCCTTGCTGTGCAAACACTTTAAAAACATATATAATTTTATTGATTATACAATTACAGTTGTCCCATTTTTCTCTCCCCTTTATTCCCCTCTGCCCCGCACTCCCCGTCCCACCAGCATTCCCCCACCTTAGTTCATGTCCATGGGTCATACATATGAGTTCTTTGCATTCTCCATTTCCTATACTATTCTTAACCTGCACCTATTTATTCTGTACCTACCATTTATACTTCTTATTCCCTGTAACTTTTCCCCCATTCTCTCCCCTCACTCTCACCACTGATAACCATCCATGGGATCTTCATTTTCATAATTCTGTTCCTGTTCTAGTTGATTGTTTAGTTTGTTTTTGTTTCTGTTTTTTTTAAGGTTCAGTTGTTGATAGTTGTATGTTTGTTGTCATTTTACTGTTCATATTTTTTATCTTCTTTTTCTTAGATAAGTCTCTTTAACATTTTATATAATGAGGGCTTGGTGATGAAATCCTTTAACTTGACCTTATGTGGAAAGCACTTTATCTGCCCTTCCATTCCAAATGATAGCTTTGCTGGTAGTCCATTTGTTTATTTTTTCTTTTGTTTCCCTTGCTTGGGGAGATATATCCTATAAAACACTGCTATGAGAAATGTCTGAGATTTTGCTGCCTATATTTTCTTCTAGGAGTTTTATGGTTTCAAGTCTAACATTTAAGTCTTTGAACCATTTTGAATTTATTCTTGTGCATAGTGCAAGAAAGTGGTCTAAGTTCATTTTTTTCTACAAGTTTATCTCTTCAATTTTCCCAACAACATTTATTGAATAAACTATTTTTAGCCCATTGAATATGCTTGCTTCCTCTGTCAAATATTAACTGACTATAAAGGTATGGATTTATTTCTGGGCTCTATATTCTGATCTCTTGATCTGTGTGTCTGTTTATATGCCAGTACCATGCTGTTTTGATTACTATGGCCTTATAGTTTCATGTTAGGTAGCATGATTCTTCCAACTTTGCTGTTTATCAAGATTGCTGTTACTATGTGCAACTTTTGGGGTTCCATATAAATTTTTGAAATATTTGTTCTATTTCTGTGAAATATGTCACTAAAATCTTGATAGGAATTGCACTGAATCTATAGATTGCTTTGGGTAATATGGACATTTTAATGATGGTAATTCTTCCTATCCATGAACACGGTATGTGCTTCCACTTATTTGTGTCTTCTTCAATTTATTTCTCCAGTGTCTTATAATTTTTCTTGTACATGACTTTTACATCTTTGGTTAGGTTTATTCCTAGGTATTTTATTCCTCTTGAGGCAATTCTGAATGGGATTGTTTTCTTAATTTCCCTTTCTGTTAGTTAATTATTGGCATATAAAAATATACTAGTTTTGTATCCTGATACTTTGATGAATTCATTGATCAGTTAGAGTAGTTTCTTGGAATCTTGGAGGTTCTCTATGCACAGTATCGTGTCATCTGAAAATAAAGACTTCTTCCTTTTCAATTCGGAAGCCTTTTATTTTTTCTTAACTGATTGAATAAAGCAGGTGAAAGTGGACATCTCTGTCTTGTTCCCAATCTTAAGAAGAACACATATAGTTTTTACCTGTTCAGTATGATGCTGGCAGTGGGTTTGTCATATATGGCCTCTGTTAAGTTTACGTATGTTTCTTCTATTTCGACTTTGCTGAGAGTTTTTATCATCAATGGGTGCTGCATTTTATCAACTGCTTTTTTCTACATCTATTGATATGATTATGCAGTTTTTATCCTTCATTTTTTTAATGTGGTGAATCATTTATTGATTTGTGAAAGTTGTACCAACTTTGCATTCCTAAATAAATCTCACTTGATTATGGTTCACATTTTTTTGATGTATTGCTGTATTCAGTTTGCTAATATTTTGTTGAAGATTTTTAGCATCTATGTTCATCAAGAATATTAGCCTATAATTTTCTTTCATTTTTAAAAAAATATTTGATTGATTATGCTATCATAGTTGTCCCATTCACTCCCCATCCCATATTCCCCTCTGCCCTGAACACCCCCTCTCACCTGCATTCCCCTTCTTTCGTTCATGCCCACAGGTCACACATATAAGTTCTTTGGCTTCTACATTTTCTATACTACTCTTAACCTCTCCCTGTCTATTTTCTACCTACCATTTGTGATACTTATTCCCTGTACCTTTTCGCCCTTTCTCTCCCTCTCCTGCTGATATCCTCCATTTCTCTGATTCTGTGCCTCTTCTAGTTGTTTGCTTAGTTTATTTTTGGTTTTGATTTTTTAGGTTTGGTTGTTGATAGTTGTAAGTTTGTTGTCATTTTAGTGTTCATAGTTTTCAGCTTCTTGTTCTTAGATAGGTCCCTTTAACATTTCATATAATAATTGCTTGGTGATGATGAACTCCCTTAATTTGACCTTATCTGGGAAGCACTTTATCTGCCCTTCCATTCTAAGTGATAGCTTTGCTGGATAGACCAATCTTGGATGTAGGTCCCTGTCTTTCATGACTTGGAATACTTCTTCCCAGCCCCTTCTTGCCTGTAAGGTCTCTTTGGAGAAATCAGCTGAGAGTCTGATGGGAACTTCTTTGTAGGTAACTGTCTTCTTTTCTCTTGCTGCTTCTAAGATTCTCTCCTTTATTTTAATCGTGGCTAATGTAATTATGATGTGCCTTGGTGTGTGCTTCCTTGGGTCCAACTTCTTTGGGACTCTCTGGGCTTACAGGACTTCCTGGAAGTCTATTTCCTTTGCCAGACTGGGGAAGTTCTCCTTCATTATTTTTTTCAAACAAGTTTTCTATTTCTTGCTGTTGTTCTCCTTCTGTCACCCCTATGATTAGGAAGTTGGAACATTTCAAATTGTCCCAGAAGTGCCTAAGCCTCTCTCCTCATTTCTTTGAATTCTTGTTTATTCTGTTCTGGTTGAATGTTAATTTCTTCCTTCTGGTCCAAACTGTTGATTTAAGTCCTGGTTTCCTTCCCATCCCTATTGGTTCCTTGTATATTTTTCTTTATTTCATGTTGCTTTTTCCTCTATTTTGCAACCATACTCAACCATTTCTGTGAGCACCCTGAACACCAGTGTTTTGAACCATGCATCTGATAGGCTGGCTATCTCTTCATCGCTAAGTTGTATTTTTTCAGAAGCTTCGGTCTCTTCTTTCATTTGGGCCTTTTTTTTTTTTTGTCTTGCATGCCTGTCACATAGTATGTGGTGGAACCTTAGGTATTCACCAGGGTGAAGCAACCCAGGTTGCTGTGTTGTGGCACTGTATGTGGGAGAGGTGTCCGAGAGGGAACCCCCTCCCCCACATACAAGCTGAACAATGCCACTTGTTCAGCTCTCTGCCAGCTTTCAGTCACTTCCCCTGCTACCCACAGAAAAATTGGGCCCTTCTGGTGCTGATTCTTGGATGCATGGTTTTGTGTATGTTCTAGGACCCTGTGGGTATCTCCAAAGAAATCCCCTGTGAGGCTGGGAGTTTATCCTGCTGCCTCAACCCCCATAGATTTTATAGTCAGAGGTTTTGAGGCTTTATTTCCTGGCATGGAATCCTGGGCTACACAGTCTGTCTCACTACACAGTTGTTCCTCCAGGTTTATCTGCATGCAAATGTGGAACTGCCTGCTCCACCAGCTGTTGCCTCACCCACTCTGGTTCTCCAGCTGCTGCCTTGCCATGAGTCCTCTCTGCCCAGCTGCCTGTCTCTGCACCTCCTACCGGTCCGGGTGAATGTTTCCTCTTTAACTCCTTGGTTGTTGGACTTTCATACAGTTCAATTTTCTGTCAGTTCTGGTTGTTTTTTGTTTTTAAATTTGTTGTTGTCCTTCTATTGGTTGTGCAAGGAGACACAGTGTCTACCAATGCCTCCATCTTGGCTGCAAGTTAATTTTCTTCCTTTTTGGTATCTTGTTCTGGTTTTGGAATTAGTATAATGCTGGCCTTGGGGAATGAGCTTGGGTGTCTTCTTTTCTCTTGAATCTCTCGGAACAGTTTGATAAGGAGAGGTACTAGTTCTCAGAATATTTGCTAAAATTCTTCTGTGAAACCATCTGCCAGGGCTTTTGTTTGTTGGTGCATTTTCTGATCACTGCTTTAATTTCGCTATTTGTAATCCACTTATCTTTCATAGATCTTATGTTTAAATTTTAGAATAAAAGCCTAAAATGTTTGTAACTTCTTAATTCAATAAAAAAAACACCTTGTTATTTTCTGACTTCAAAATACTTATAATAAAACTTAATTTTAACATCTTTTGTCTTTGCTTTGGTGAAATAGTGAATTTTAAGTTTTTAATTACTGTTTACTACTAGGTTTACATTGGGTTTTTAGGAATCAGAATTATTATAGAAAATAAAGACTAGAAGCAGCCCAAGGGTCATAATAATCCAAGACCCCGGTGTTACTTTAATCTGCGTTTGCTGCTGCAGGGGCACTGAGGTATTATATTCAAAGTGCAAAGAAGTAATGTAATGAAGTATGTACCATACTCTGAGACACAGAGTTACTATTCATTCAGTTTTTGCACCAAAAAAGGTTATTGCTTTCCGTATAAGAATGAATCATCAAAGACATTTACATAATGTTCTCTGGGTCCACCCATTATGCTAAGGAAAATAAAATAAATAAACTGAACTGACAAGGGGGACAGACTCATAGATAAAGAGCAGGATGATAACTAAGAGGATGGAGGGTGGTATGGGATGGAGGGGTTGAGCAGAAAGGAAAAAGCACACATGGATGTTGACGACAGTATGGTGATTGCTGGGGGGAGGGAATATAAGGAGGTTAAATGGTAATGGAAAAAAATACAATAAAGATTAAATTTAAAAAGATGTCTATGCCTCAAAGCATACCAGGAGAAAGTGAAAGACAACCCATCCATAGGAAACAGAACTTTGCAAATCATATACAGATATAAGGGACTTGAATCTAGAATATATAAAGAGCTGTTATAACTTAAGAGACAAATAACACAGTTAAAAAATAGACCCTATCAATAGGTGAGAAGGCTTGAAAATGGGTATATAATCAGGTAACTGTACACCAATATTAATATAAGCATTATTCACAATAGTCCAAAGGTGGAAGTGGCCCAATTGTTCACCAACAGATAAATGGATAAACAAAATGTGGTATATCCATACAATGGAATATTATACAGCCATAAAAGGAATAAAGTGCTAATATCTGCTACAACATGCATGAACCTTGAAAACATTTTTATATGAAATAGGCCAGATACAAAAGGATCTTATTACATAATTTCAATATTGTATGAATGTATGTAATTTGTATAAACTATCTAAAATATATAAATTCCTAGGGAACAGAGAGTAGATCAGAAATTACTATGTGTTGATGGGAGTGAAATGAGAAGTTATTGCTTATGAATGCATAATTTCTATCTGGGATGATGAAAAAGTTCTAAAAATAAGTAGTGGTGATGGTTGTAAAAAATAAAAGACATTTACAATCCTTCTTTATCATCATTAAATTAGAATAAACACAGTATACTCCTATTTCTTTTGCTATAATTTTTGAAACGTGGCCAGTGACTGCTAAAATTCTAAGGATATATAAAAGAAAAATAACTTCTTTAGTACTTTATTATTATTTCATTCTGAGAGTGTGAAACTATTAACATGAACAAACAGCAATTATGGTGTGCCTGACAGTATGCTACTGAACACAAAATTATGTGAAGAACCTTTTTTTAATTTTATTTTTCAATTATAGTTTACATTCAATGTTATTTTTTATTAGTTTCAGGTGAACTGCATAGTGGTTAGACAACCACATACATACATTACAAAGTGTTGTTCCCGATATTTCTAGGACCCACCTGGAACCACATGTAGTCACTACTAATATTACTGACAATTCCATATGCTGTACTTTATATTCCTGCAACTATTTTGTAACTGCAAATTTATACATCTTAATCCTTTAGCCTTTTTCACCAGTCCCCTAATTCCTCTACCATCTGGCAACTATCAGAATGTTCTCTGTCTTTATGACTCTGCTTCTGTTTTGTTTGTTTGTTTATATTGTTCTTTAGATTCCACATATAAGTAAAATCATATGGTATTTGTCTTTCTTTGAATTACTTATTTCACTCAGCATAATACCCTCCAGGTCCATCCATACTGTCACAAATGATAAGATTTCATTGTTGTTATGGCTAAGTAATACTCTATTGTATATATGTACCTCATGGCTTTTATATCCACTCATCTAATGATGGGCACTTGAGTTGCATCCATATTTTGGCTATTGTAAATAATGCTGTAGTGAACATATGGAAGAGCTTTTTAAAAAGCATACAGTTGTACAAGTGTAATGATTTGACCTACCTGGCTCTGAGGTACTTCATGATCAGCCCCCCAATACAATGTCATTCCAAGAGAATAAATATGGATCTAAGAACAGAATTTTTCAAAGAGTCACTTTATGGTAAACCAAAATTTTAAATTTTAAAAATTTGTTAAGTACTATATATTCATGACATTTTGTTACAAAGAAAGTAAAACACATAATGAGAAAGTCATTATTTTATATATTTTATAAAAGTGAGAGCTTCTAAAATAGAAAATAAAAGTAGAAGTTATTGGAACAGACACCCCTCTGCTCTCAGTTCCTCAGCCCATCCTCTATGAGTAACCATTTTTATTAGTTCTTATTTATTTTAAAGTTTCTTTATGAAAACTCAAGCAAATACATTCTTATTTTCACAAAGGTCAGGAATGTTAAAGATTACTTGCACTTTTAATTCAGTAGGAGACATATTTCTATATCAATGCTTAAAGATCCTTTTTTAGTACTGCACAGAACTCCATTTTGTGGCTGTACCACTGTTTATTTAGCCAATCTGTTATTAACAGGCAATTAGAATTTTCCTAAATTTGGGTATTATAAGTAATGTTTCAGCAAGCAGTCTTGTGATATGTTATTTTGTACATGCAGGTATTTCTTTTGAATGGATTCTTTGAAACTACGACTAAAGGATGACTCATCTGTAGTTTTGATACATATTGTCAGATTTCCCTATATAGAAGTCGCATTATTTTGCATTTCTACCACCAAAATATAGCCTTGTCCATAGAATAAGTGATGAATATTTGGACTTCTGACAATCTGAAAAGTGAGAAAAAAATCTCATTGCAATCTGAATAGCATTTTTTCTTATTATGAATGCATGGATAGCAGATGGAGAAAAAAGCAGGGTCAAATGATATTTCATCCTTTTTCATTCAATAATTTCCCTACTAGCAATTTATTAGGTTAATCCTCATGCTGCTGTGGAATGTTACACGAGACATTATATTCATAGCCAATACTGAATTTCCCAAGTTCCATATCTAACGTATTACAGCCCGCTACCTATATGTCCCAATTTTTTTCATAGCCTTGACAATGAAATCAGATCTTCTGATGTTAATGGCATCCCATCCTCACACTGAATATTTATATAATAAACTTTTCCTTCTTCATTATCCCATCAAATTGTCAAACTGTCAGCTTTGCTTCCACTGTCTCTTATACCCAGTTCTTTCCCATACATTATTAAACTCTCCAGTCAGATTCCTACACACACAATCTTTCATCTCACCTGTTATCCTCAAACTTACCCTCTGGAATAAAAAAATCACATCATATTACTCTCCTAAAAATAGGATAGCTCACAACTGCCTCAGAAGAAAGTTTCAAGTTCTGGCATTTGGAGTCTTCTTTATTCAGACCTACAGCTTCCCTTTCTTTCTATAACCACAGCCTTTCCAGGTAGCTAACACTCTAGCCTAGTTGATATAACCAAACATTCCCCCACCACAGTGGCTGATTTCTTACCTGCTATTCTATATACTAATAACCCTCAGTGAAATGCCTGTTTTCACTTCTCTAAATTCTACTCATTCCACAAAGCCCAACATAACATTACTACCTTCTCTGCCATATCATTCTACACTAAACATTAATTGCTCCTCCTCTAGATTCCCAAAATACTTTATACCTTTATATAACATTTACTTCATTTTGCCATACATTACAGGTTGTTCTATAAACATGTTGATCAGTATCAATTTTCTAGTTATTTTTTATCTTCCTTATGAGCACAATATTTTATACACAGCAGGTATTAAATAAGTAATAGTAAACATCAGTCAGGAATAACATATATTTCTTCCTATTTTTCTTAGATCTTTAACACTTAAACAAACCAATTTTCAATTCTTAAAATAAAAATGAACTTCTTAAAACACATGATTACTTTAAAATCAATGCATTTTTCTTCCAAGGGCTGAGATAGAGTAGCCCAGTATCTTTACTTTTTCAGCCCCCAACAAAATAAAGCAAAAAGTAAGAGTTACCTTTTCAACATCTGAGAGAGATGTTAGTGATTGATTTTGAAGAACCTCTGGTGCAGTGAATGCTCGAAGATCCTGACTGGAAATATTTTCGTCTGTAAATGACACGCTGCCAGATGGCAGCAACAGCAGAGACCATGGAGAAATGATAAAGCCAAGGGCAGCAGGATCAGCTATGCTTACTGGTTTGTAACCGCACAAAATACAAGGAAAAAGGAAAGATAATTGTTTAAAATTATAATTAGAGGAACTACAGATCACTTAAATGAGCATTCCAGCCTATTCATATTATATGGGAACTATAAAGTTACATATATTAAGTCAAAAGAGAGTTTCACAAATCTGTACTGCTAGTATTATTAACAACAGTACTTGGATTCAGCTTAATCTTTTAAAACCGGGATGACAGATCTTAGAAACTATATATAGAGAACTTTCATTGTTAGTCACAAGACTTAAACTGGTTTCAGTACTTTATCACAGTGAGAAAGATATAAGGATCATTAGTTTTTAAACCTTGGGGGAAATCATGGATTCCTTTGAGAATTTGGTAAATGCTATAATCTGTCTTTTAAATAAATTGCCTATAAAAACAAATTCTGTATACAAAAAGTGTTTGTAGATATTTTTGTAGCCCAGTTATTGAACACAGGTTAAGATGCCCTGATAGATAATAGTGGACTGAAACGGATGGAAATAATTCAATTGATAATTATCAAATTTGAAATTAGCAAAACTTTCCAACTACAATGAAAGTTTTTTTTGTATATGTCAAAAGATTTATTTGTCCCACTGTGGATTTTGTTTTGTTTGCATTTGTCCATTATTTCATTAGAATTTCTGGCAGCTTGTGTATTATCAAATGTGATAATGGTCTCTAATTTTATTTTAATGTTTGCCTGTATGTGTGCCTAACAGCTCATGTTCAAGAGTATTAAAAAAATTCCTTAAGATTTCAAGAGTTCTCCTTCCAAAAGTAAGCTATACAGTAGGCTCAATAAAACAGACTTATTAGATGGTACCTTATTTTGTCTTCCCATTTAAAAAAATAAGTTAACAGACTTCCAGTGAAGATGCAGGTGTAGGTGGAAACACTGTGCCTCCTTGCACAACCAAGTTTAAAGACAACAAAGATTTAGTAACAAAAACGCAACCAAAACAAACAGAAAATTGAACTGTGTGGAAGTCCAACAACAACAAATCATTCAGCCAGACTGGTAAGAGGGGCAGAGTAAGTGGCTGGCAGAGAGGGGTCGTGCAGGAAAAAGTGGCCAGACCAACCCAGGTGTGCAGGTGGCAGCTGGCAGATCCCAGGCATGGGGTGGCAGTGGGCAGACCCAGTGAGGGTGCAAGGCTGCTGGCTGACCATGGTCACACATTCACACGCAGATAAACCAGGCTATGAGACAGACTGGGGTCCCAGTGACTAGAATTAAAGCCTAAAAGCACCAATTGGAAAAACTTTCAGGGGTCGAGGTGGCGGGAGAGGCTCCCAGGCTCACAGAGAGTTCATTGGAGAGATCCACAGGGTCCTAGAGGGTGCACAAGCCCACACACCAGGGAACCAGCAACAGAAGGGCCCAATTTGCTTGTGGGAAGCAGCAGAGGGGACCAAAATCAGAGAGAGAGAGAAAGGGAACAAACGCTATTGCCCCTCTCTGACCCTGCCCCTATGTAGAGCATCGCAACCCAGCGACTGGGTCACCCCGCCCTGGCGAACATCTAAGGCTCCCCTCCTCATACGTAACAGGCGTGAACAGACCGAAATATTATGGCTCAAGAAGAACAGCTCAAAGCACCAGAGCCAATACTTCTAAGTGACCAAGAGATAGCCAGCCTATCAGATGCACAGTTCAAAACACTGGTGATCAGAATGCTCACAGAACTGGTTGGTTTTAGTCACAAATTAGATGAACACATGAAGGCTAAACTAAGTGAAATGAAGAAAAATACACAGGGAACCAATAGTTATGGGAAGGAAACTGGGACTCAAATCAATGGAGTGGACCAGAAGGAAGGAAAAAATGACCAAACAGAAAAGAATGAAGAAACAAGAATTTTGAAAAATGAGGAGAGGCTTAGGAACCTCCAGGACATCTTTAAACATTCCAACATCCGAATTATAGGCGTGCCAGAAGGGAGAAAGGAACAGCCACCAGTGGAAAACTTATTTGAACAAATAATGAAGAAGAACTTCCCCAATCTGGCAAAGGAAATAGACTTCCAGGAAGTCCAGGAAGCTCAGAGAGTCCCAAAGAAGTTGGACCCAAGAAGGAACACACCAGGGCACATCATCATTACATTACCCAAGATTAAAATGAAGGAAAGAATCCTAGAAGCAGCAAGAGATAAGGGGACAGTCACCTACAAAGGAGTTCCCATCAGACTGTCAGCTGATTTCTCAAAAGAGACCTTACAGGCAAGAAGGGGCTGGAAAGAAGTATTCCAAGTCATGAAAGACAAAGACCTACATCCAAGATTGCTCTATCCAGCAAAGCTTTCATTTAGAATGGAAGGGCAGATAAACTGCTTCTCAGATAAGGTCAAGTTCAAGGAGTTCATCATCACCAAGCCCTTGTTATATGAAATGTTAAAGGGACTTATCTAAGAAAAAGAAGATACAAAATGTGAACAGGGAAAGGACAACAAACTCACAGTTATTAACAACCACACCTAAAACAAAAGCAACAACAAACTAAGAGGACAGCTAGATCAAGAGTGGAACCATAGAAATGGAGATCACATGGAGGGTTAGCAACAGGGGAGTGGGAGAAGGAGAAGGGGGGAGAAGGTACAGAGAATAAGTAGCATAGATGGTAGGTAGAAAATAGATGGGGGGAGGGCAAGAATAGTATGGGAAACATAGAATCTAAAGAAGTTGTGACACATGGACATAAACTAAAGGGGGGAATGGTGGGAGAGGGGGTGTGCAAGGTGGAGGGAAATAAGGGGGGGAAATGGGACAACTGTAATCGCATAATCAATATAATATATTAAAAAAATAACTTCACTTTGGGACCTATTAAATTTAAGATATGTATAGATACTCAAATAGGGGTGTAAGTAGGCAGCTGGACCTGAAATTTGGGAAAAAGGTATCAGAAGACATAGTTTGGAAATAACTGATCCAATAGATGCAATTTAAAGCCCCGTAACTGGATGAGATCACTGAAAAGTGTGTTATGGCAGAATAAAAATCAAGACCAAGGACTGAGCCTTGGTGTATACCAACCTGAACACTGCTTCTCAGTCTTTTTTTTTTTCCAGGCTCTTTTCCCGGGCATCCATGCAAGTATGGTGCTGTAATCTCCCTGTCACACTTTTCCTTTACTTATCAATATCAATCTTCATCCACTATTTTAATTAATTACTTTTACTACCTTTCCATCCAGTTCCCCTGTATCCCATCCTGAACCTAGGACAGGCAGATGGAATTCTAAGTTTTATGCTTAACTCCTTATTTAGAGACAGAATTATGATTTCTGTTATACTTGTTACCACTCGAATTTGTAAATTATTGGGAATCACAGATAACAGAGGCATGCATGATTCCCAGGAATCTAAAAGCTGTGCCCTGTCCTGCCATCCTGGATGCTGGTATTAACTCAGACCAGGAAGGAGCTTGCCACACTCATCCTCCCTCTCATCCCTAGCCACAGACTGCACCTCCCTGACAGGGTGGCAGGGAAGTGAAATCACAGGTGAAAGCAATCCGCAACTGCTTTTCAATTTGAAATCACTAAGAGATTTATTCATTTACCAGCACAACGAGGTCTGCAAAACTTACTACTCTGGCAAGAACTGCATTTTTAAATTTGTGCTTTATACAACAGGTGGGGTTTTCTCTTGTTTGTTTTTACTAAACATCTACAGTAAACCTTATTTAAGCACTATACATATTTAAACATAGGTCATTTGCACACAGAGTCCATATGGTATTTAAAAGATTAAATACTTGTTTGTATATATATATAATAGAAAGTATAAGGTACCTAAAAGAGAAAACAGAATATAAAAATGATTTAGAGGATAGCAAAATTCCTTGAACTACAATGAAAAGAGAATTTTTTATATGTGGCCCTAAAGATGATAGGGGAAAGATTCCAAAAACAAGAAAAAAACAAAAAAAAAACAAAAAAAGCAGCCAAAACAAAGGCATGTGGACAGGAAATTATTAAGTTTATAAATGGAGCAGCAGGATTTTTGGACAGAGCAATGACGAACAGTGAAAAACAATTACCAAGGTGGGTCACATTTTTGCTTGTTAAAACACACACACGAATGACAAATTATTTTCACATGTGATTTTTAAATGTCTTGTAACAAAGCACCTGTGACAACAAACTACATTGCTACGGAATTCCCTAAACATACACATGACTTTAAGTGCTGAATCCTTTCATTTTCTTTTTTAACCCTCACCCAAGGATATGTTTTAATGAATTTGGAGAGAGATGGAGGTGGGGGTGGGGGGACTTGACATCAATGTAAAAGGGAAGCATGGATTGGTTGCCTTCCATCTGTGCCCTGACAGGGGATGATCAAACCCACAACCTAGGTATGTGCTGTGACTGGGGATTGAACCCGCAGCCCTTAGTGCACAGGACAATGCCCTAACTGGCTGAGCCACCTGGCCAGGGCTGTACTGAATTCTTTAGAATACAATTAAACCGCAAAATATATTTTTAAATAATTGTAAAGTGTTACATACAAGTGAGTAAATTTAGAATTGTGACTAGAATCTGTTTCATTTACTCTCCTTGTCTAACTAAAAGGAAGGAATTTAAAGCAAGTGTATTCAAAGTCCTTTAAAGAATGCTAACAAAACAATACTTTAAAATGGAATTCCAGAAGCTTGTAATTTAATGTCCTATAATATCTTACTTGTGATGATTGTCCTGGAGAATGCTATTACTATGAAAGAGTAAATCTGAAGTGAACTGATTCCAGTAGTCAGATGATTCTATTTATAGACTTTACCAACATTCCACAGAAAAACTTGCTCAAACGGAATTTCAAGCAGCTAGAGCCAAAGTTAGAAATAAACAGAAATTTGATATGCAAAGAAATGTCTTAGCACTTCCTTCAAATGATCTTTTCATCTAAGATCCAGCTCCACATATTTTTTCCCTGAGAGATCTTGCCATGTTTTTCAAATGGCTCCCTTCATTTTATATTTTGG